CCCTTTACAGTGTGAAAATATAAGTAGTATAACAAGTAATTTTATCTAAAACAATATATCTTTTTGCATGAGAAATATGCAATATATATGCTGTATGTGTGTATGTGTGTGTGTGTGTGTGCGCGCGCGCGCACACACACACACACCACACATACACACACACATATACACTGCACATATATTGCATATATTACATATATATTGTATATTTTTCATATAAAAATAAAACAAACCCCAGGTTTTAATGACTAAAATCAGTATATTCTATATGTCTAAAGAAAAATATGTTATATACAACATAAATATTATATAAATCATTTACATCTTTATTCCAAAGTTATAACAAAAATACGAAATACAAAAGAAATGTTAATTTTTGGTTTCTGCACTCCATATAAGAATAGACCAACAATATTTATATTTATATTTATATTTAATCTATTTATTTAGCTGTATTTACTGAAGTTGTCAAAAGTAGCATGATACAAAATTAATCAATACTTCATTTGAAAATATCCAGTTTTTGATATAAGATTGACAGTGATCAAAAATTGAATTTATTACTCTATGAATTTCATTTTTATTTTGTTTCATTGAATGCATCATTAATTTTTTGTATCAATTCATTATGCGAATTTATTATATTTTGAAATGGAGCATTAATTAATTCTGAAAGTGCTAAAAATATCATGTTACTCTTAACCATCTCAAATAGTAAACACAGTTTAAATAAACAGATTAAATATAAACATTGTTGATCTATTCCTACATTATATCGCAGTAAAAGTTAATTTCTTTCATATTTCTTTCATATTTTGTATTTTGATAATTTCTGAATAAAGTTGTAAATGACTTATGTTTATATATGATTTTTTTCTCATTTAGACTCATAGAATATACTGATAAAGTTTGGCTATTAAAAATCTGAGACCTCCTGTGTGTGTGTATGTATGTATGTGTACATATATGTGTGTGTGTGTGTGTGTGTGTGTGTGTGTGTGTGTGTGTATGTGTGTATGATTGTGTATACTTTTAGATTTTATATACAAAAATTTTGATTCTAAACTTATTTAAAATTGGTTTAATTTAACGAAAAAACAATTGTAATTTGCATATTTTTGCATTTGTCATGTATAGTAAGAAAACTTGTGAAAATAGTATTTTATATCAGGTATCATTTTTCCTTTTTTTTAAATATTTTATTTTAAATTGCGCAATAAATTTAAATGTATGTGCATAGTCAGTTTTGTAAAAGTAACAATTTTGTTTAAAGCTATATTAGCTATTTATAAATTACTTATTTTATTTTTTACGAAATTAAATGACAAGATAAAATATATTAGACAAAATAGCTTTACAAAAAAAAATTATTTTGTATACGCATACTTAGAAAAATAATTTTGGACTATGAAAAACTGCCGTATCTTCTTTATACATATGCAAACAAAGTACTAATTGTTTTTAAACAAAATTTACATGAACATATGTATTCGAAATTCATTAATTTATCTAGCAGATGGAAAAAATAACAAAGTAAATATACTTTTAATATGTTACCTTAATTATTGACATAAAAAATGAAATATTAAGTTCTAAACATTATTGTATTCTAAAAAATCTATAAGAAATCATCATATTTTGAATAAATATCTTTATTGAATATTTTACTAATACTTATTATTATTAATTCTTATATTGAAATATAAGACTATAAATTCTTAGTCTGTATTTGCTTTAAAATTTTATATTAACAAGTGCAAACGATTAGAACTGAACATTGGATTATAAATAATATAATTTTTAAATGCTATTATTTTGTTGCAAATAAATAATCCATATTAAATTTTTTAACTGTATATCATATTTGTTTCATACTTTCAATATTTAACAAAAATCCTATTTTTTCTTTTTACTGTAATGATTAAAATATATGATAATAATGTAATTATGATATATAATTATGGTAACAATATTACTTAAGATACTGAAATATCTGTGACTTTCCCAATGCCTATTGTACTACCTTGATTATATACAAACATACAAATGTTAATTAGGATTATTACTTAGCATGTTTAGAGTATCGGCATCTACAAATAATATAAAGCTGTATTAATTTGCCTGTGCTTGCCTGTCATTAATATTGTACAGCACAAAAATCTCTCTTATCTTTTAAATATGCACTATTATTATTATTTTACATGTCATTGTAACAAATGTATATATTTCTCTGAGAAGTAAAATAAACTGCTGTAAAAAAATTAAAACTGAGACAAAACTGTGTTCGAAATTATACTTTAATATCATGGTAATTTAATATAATTAATGAATGTTTGTTAATTATTATTATAATTGTTTATAATTATTATAAATGTTTGTTAATTATTATTATAATTTGTATTATGTAATATTATAATATAATATTAGTATATATTATTATAATAATATTATTATATATTATTTATAATAATATTTGTATTATATAATAATTATTATAATTTGTATTTTGTAATAAGTGCAGAATTGAAAATTAATTGTGATTTATAATATATTATATTTTTTAATTCACTTAAAAAAATTCAACATATTTTAATGTATAAAAGTTTTATATTTTAGTTATATATTTACAATGATCGACTTAAAAATAGAGGAGATTTTTTTAATAGTTCATCTACTTTTATTTTAAACAATTCACTTTGTATAGGTTCATTTAATTGGCAGAGTGGATTTTTTATTACATATTCCAAGTAAACCTAAAATGAAAAATATATCATTACATAGATGTGCATCACTTCAATATTTCTGTGAGAAAAAAAGATATACAATCTTACTTCTCTGTACAATTGTTGCAATAATTCTCTAGCATTCTGACTTGCATTATCAGTGTTCAAGACAAACTTTAAACCTGATGGTGTTTCAAAGTAGTGAAGCGTATATTTGCTTGTTTTGTAATACAGAAACCCTTCCTTAGGATCCAATGGTGAAATTTTACTTACGAATGATTTTATAGAAAACAACATTCCATACATTAATTTTGCTTCCTAAATAAATTGTATAAATATGTTTCTAATTATTTTGTTATCTCATTAGTTTTAGCAAATTGCCTAATTGTATCATATACTTGGCACTTAAAACATTATATAATTATAAATTTAATATCTTGTAAATTTTAATATCTTATAAATTTAATATCTACATTTATTTATATTTCTCTCATACTTAGTTTGAGAACTTTTAACATAATTATAATAGATTTAACATAATTATAGATTGCTATTTATCATTGCATTGGTTCCTTTTTTTTAAGTTTATTATTTTTTGGATTTAATAATGCTTCGTAATATCTATATATCTAAACTTTGTGAACTTTATATTCTCTAATTCGTGAGTCTTACATCTTCTTTCATAACTTTTCTTAATTATTTATCACTTTTTATTATAGATATGTAACATATGTAGTGATTATATGACATGTAGGTGTAAACAGAATAGGCCAGGAAGGGCCTATGATATAGCTAGACAGATTATTCAAATTCGATTATTGCAAAAATGAAATATCATAAAAAATTACAAAAAATTCTATTCTATATTTCCTTATTATTCTTTTCTTCTACTTATTAACGCGTGTTTGACTTCTATTTGATTATATCACTTCTTCTAGTCTATTCTGTATGAATATCTGCAGTATCTGAACTCGAATTCGTGAGTTTACTAAACTCAAATAATTGTGCAGATCACTTCTGCAGATCATCTATTGTTAATACCAAAGATTGGTTTTTCTAATCAATGTCTAATGAATGTATGAGTACAGTTGCAAGTTACCTCCTCTTTTGTTATCCCCGATTTATTTAATCTGTTCCATTCGGCATAATACAGCAACGTTCCAGTTTTCGAAAAAATGTACAAATTATGAATTGTCATGACTGGCACGTCTTCTTTCCTTCGTTTTACACCACAAAATATGTCAACAAATGTGTTTTACTTTGTGAATTGTTGTTTTGACGTTTCGATGACGTCCCGCACAGCTGTATTACGATTCCATACATATCCGCCACCTGATGGTCGAGAAATTTAAACACGAGCAAGAAAATTATCGATAATATTGAGTTGTGTGTTTATCTAACTGCAATAAAACAGATAACAAGTGCTTAAACTTCAACGACATCGAAATATATTTAGACAACGCAATATCTTAATTTTGTATGTATTTCGTTTATAAATATTAACATGCTGATTATTGTTGTTTATACGTACTTGTGTATATTTTGCGAGAAATATCTGTTTTAAATTATTAAATCATATAAATATATAAGCATAATATAAACTCACTGAAGTACACGTTATTAATATCTTCATTTATAATTTTTAACAGATTTTTACGTAATATTTGTAAAGAAATCTTTTGATCTTCTTTAATCATTTATTTGCTAATGCTTTATTTATTGTATTTAATATTATAAAAATAGAATTGTATACCTTTCATGATTATAATATATTTTAAAGTAGTTTAGAATTATTAACACGATAAATAGATATCTTCTCACAATCGATCTTCATTGATCTTCACATCTTTAATTACATGTCAAAATACATTTTTATGTCACTGACAAGTCAATAAACCAAAGTGGCGAAATAGACCATTCAAAAATGTAAACTAAAGTCGTGTAAATGTTCCTGTCGATTTTCTTGTCTATTCCAGATCGTAAATGGCACACCTGCGCGAAGTTCTCACTACTGGAAAATTAGATTTCACCTCGAAAAAAGATCAATATGTCCTTTTGTGATAAAATTGAGGGTAGGAGATGGTCTAGTACCGGTTGCTGTGGTTGGTATAAAAAATTTACAAACCTAGTTTTATAAGAAAAATATTAGCAATTTCTCGATTGTCTTCAAAAAGTAAAAATATATTTAAAATATATTTATATTGTTCAGAATATTAAAGATATTTTTGGATTATAAAAAAATTAAAGAATATAAATAAAATATCATAGTTGTTAACATTTTCATTAAAAAAATATTTGTGATTAACATCTTTCTTACTGGACGACAAGAATTTTTGGTTATAAACATCTGAGATAAATTGCAAGTATGAAAATAATTAGTAATTTATAGGAAGATTTTGTTGCTACAAGTATTGAATAATTTAAACATACATGAAATATAAAAATAATTAATTGTATATACATTAATTTAATTTTAAAACAGATTATATCTTCTAAATATATTATTTAGTATATTAATACTATGTACTTTCTCTTTATAAAAATTGCAAGTTTAAAAATTAAATACTTCTCAAACTGTTCAAAGAATTTAGTATTTAGTTTTTACATAAATATTTTAAAAAATACTAAAATAATTGACAAAATTTTTATGTGTTCTTCAATCTTCTGATATATAACACATATCAAGTAGACATCTCAGATAAATATATTAGAAAATATTTTTTAAAGAGTTTCAATTTATAAATAAACTAATATATTTCTTTTCGTATCAACAAGGAATTTGAACGTTGAGACGTCTTAAAATCTCATTGAAAGAGTTTATGATTTGTATTCTTCTTTCGAATATCCTTCAAGTTCAAGTTCGTAACTCATATGAAGAATCCCGATGAAGAAGTGATCACTTTAGCCTGTAATATTTTCGCTCAGGAAATACTCGTGCATCGGACAAAGGTGGTTGTGCCGAAGCACACATATCTTCGTGTAATTGCCAAAGTAACGTAGGATGCCTGGATGGTGGTGCTTGCGGTGGTATGCAGCCCGTCGGGACCGCCGCGACGGGCGCGTGCCCTGGACCGTGCCAGTGCCTCGAGGAGGAAATCTGGAACAGTAATGTGCCACCTAAACCGAATTGCCGATGGTTGAATAACTTTGCCGAGCTGCGCCGTCAATGGAGCGACCACGGTCGCCAGCAGGCGTGCAAGTGCTGCTACGGCTGCAGCCGATGGTAGGGAAACGATGGCTGAGCAATATCGGTGTCTCGGCGTGCCGGTAGAAACCAATGTGTGTCGCGCTGCGTGTGACGCGATGAAAAGAGTGAAACGTTTTACATCAATCCCGAACACTCGGGTCTCTCCACGGTTCTCCAAATAACAATGACATCAGTTACCCTCCGCGCCGAAGTATCGACATTCTGTCTTAAAAGCACGTTGTAAAATTCAGCAGCCCTCGGTTCCCCGGTGTTTTTGTTGCAAGAAAAATGTTGCCGCCCATGCGCGACATCCGCAATGTTTTAGGATAAACTTATTGACGGCTCTCGGAGAGAATTGGAGTGTGCCGGTGTGCTTAGCTCTGTTTACGTAAAAGTATCCGTCCATTTGTAGCGTTTTCTTCTCTTCCTTTTTTTGTTTGCCGACGGCAAGAGTACTCGAATGAATATGAATATCGAGCGAATATTTCTTTCTAGAGATATTGAGATGAAAAAATTATTGGATTTCCTTATTTTGCGCCGTGTTACATTTTGTTCGCAGCAGAACTGTCACTTCGTGCCGACCGTGTCTTTCACCAACCTCATCGTGTTCCGGTACCATTTTACTTACGTCGGACTGTCAGATACACACCAAGGTAGATTCCTTGTCGAGATTTACGCTTTAAAATGCTTGAGATTCCTTTGAAGTAGTAAATTTTACATGTATTTACTTTGAGGAGAGATGAAAGTAAACCTCAGAGCAAAAAAAGCAATAGACCCACTTAATCTTGCCATTCGACTTAAAGTTGTTCTGTTTTTATTTAAAAAATGTAGCAATTCTAATACTAATGATAACTTTGATATCAACTTTAATAATAATTTTTCAATATTTATGAGTAACTTCAGCATCTTTTATTTGAATTTGATTTTTCTTTCATATTGTGTGATAGTATTTATATAATAATAATATGAAATAAATATATTTAAATAAAAATTCGAATACAGCCAATATATATACATATATAAAACAAACTGATAAAATAGCAGAGTTAAGAAATGCAGAATGAACAATGCAAGGCGCAGTTAATGTTTCTGACATCCTGTGTACGTTTTAATTAAATTTGATAGGAAGACTGTAAGGATTTAATTCAGACGCGGTTAGTTTGCGTACTCGATTTATGTAAATTAGCATAGTATATAGTTAGAAGTAAGCAAGCGTTCAAAGTTTCTTAATTATTCGATAAAATCCGTAAAGTTGGCCAAACTAATTTATATACAGACTTTAATGGCTTAGTAATTGGAACGTTTAAAATGTTAAAAATGCGAGCTAAACTTAACTGCTATAACTTTAATATGCACGACCATTACGTTTGATTACATCTTTTTAACGCGATTCAGGAAATATTACTATATTACGTTAAAATTTGTACAAACGGACAGCATGTTGAAGATATATTACTATATTACGTTAAAATTTTACAAACGATCACGATTTCGGCAACTATGGTTCGAACGATAAATCGAGCCTCGTTTTGTAACTGTCATCAGATTTTTCTACCTTCGACAGAAATGCTGTGGGAGCCGTCGTTTAGCGGGTGGGGCAAGCAAATCGGAAATGGCACCGATAGATAAATCGTCATCATCCAACCCTCGGAAACGGGAAACGGGCGGTGGTTGCCCACCACCAAGCTGTACCTACCCATCGACCCGCTATAATTCCGCTAACGCAGATTGCTCGTCGATCGCTTCGTCTTCTTCTTGCTGCTCATCGCCATGCAGACATCCTCGCCAAGCTTCGTCGCACTGGGCACCCGATTGTCAGCATCCCTATGTCTTGAAATCAATCTTGAAAAAGCGCAGCTGCTACCAGTGTAACACGAATCAGTACTGCATGTGTCAACCGATGCCACGTGGCTGTAACTGCCCGCCGCCGATTCAAGTGGACGCACGCGCCGCTCACGAGTGCTCCTGCGAATGTCCGTCCAGTCCAGAATGCGCGTGTCCACCTAGCGAACGAAGATTCCCAAAAGAGACGATCAAATGTCCCAACGCATGCCTCTGCTGTCCCTTTCCTCGATTATCACCCGGTCCCACAGCCCGGTGTCACAGCCCGTATTGTCAATCGTGTCTGCCGCCACCCTGCGGTCCATGCCTGTCCGCCAAATGTCGACGACCAGTCCCACCTAAGGATCTCTGCCAATCTAACTCGCCGTGTCCATCCTGCTCATCTTGTCGGCCGGTTTCGACCGCATTCCCCTGTCGTCCTCCGACATCTTGCAGAAAACTGACCTTCTGCACTGAGCGCAGTGACCGGCCTTCCTCGCCTTGTACAGGTCAGTTTTGGAGTGGAATCAATGTCGATAAAAGATCGGAAAATAGCGTTTATAATGAACAAGTAACAATGAGAGAGAGGAGACACGCGATAAGGAAGAATCGCCGTTGCACAACGGACTACACTGGATCTGATGATAAATTTGAATGTAATGAGAAATGTCGTGATTTAGTACTGAACGAGAGCTCAGTACAAAATTCATCATCAAAGACGTTTATTAATTTGTCGGAGACCAG